GGTGGGAGCCACAACTGCAAAGGCTAAAAATGTATGTATGTATTTTACTGTGGCGAGAAAACTATTATGATTATTTCAGATGAGTTCCTTTGCCATTGCTTCACTTTGGTCACTTTCTTTCGAAGGCCCTAGGCAGAAGTGGCTTTTAGCTGATGAAGAAAGTCTATGTAAGCTTTAACCGCGACCAGAAAGAAAGAGAAAGGTTAACATGGTGGTTTTATTTAGTGCTGCAGTTCCCAACGGTGGCAATATAAGTGTAGTAGTGTTAATTACAGGAGTATTTGCAACAAACCGATATTAATACAGTTATAACAAATCCTGCTGCTACTACAACTATGACATTTTCATATATATCAATTAAATGTATGTGCTTTCAGTAAAACGATTATTTCACCTCACGTTTAAAAAAAAAACAACGTTGAGGACCGTGAGATTAATAAACAAACAATCCTCAGTCTGACCGGGAGCACTGTTATAATGAAATGTAACTTTTACATACATACATGACACTGCACACGGAACCATTGTTGCTAGGAACTATATTAGGAGACACGTGAGCGACACGGACACGTTAGCGTGTGACTCACAGTGGTGGTGGAGCCATGTGGAAGGTGTTGCGTTCATGTTGCGTTTGAGTTTAACGCGTTAAAGATTGAACTTTAAGGTCGCAATGGACGGGTTTTTTTTACCGACAGCACAAATAAAGTGTAGCAACAATTAAAGTGAATCTGTTGACGGAGTTGAGCCGCTGCATCCCGCTGAATCATGGGCAAATCAAAGGTGAGTGACGGCCTCAACTGAGAGATAGCCTGACGAGAAGTTAACAATATTATATTATTGTTGTTATTTTTTCAGATTAACTCGTAGTTTCACTGCAGGTGGCGGCTGATGGTGTGATAATGTTCATGTGATTTGGTCAAATCCGGCCATTTTAGCTGATTTTAGCTTTTAATGAGCTTTAATCGTAATTCAAAGCAAAAAAAAAATGTTGTTGTCAAATGTTACTTGAATATTGTGTCGTCATAACTTATATGTGGATATTTTGCTTTCAGACCAAGAACCAGAAGAAATCCCGAGCAACAGCCAACCATGTGGCCGAGGAGACGTACGGAGCTGTCCCCCACTCCTTCGTCTTCCATCGGGGTCAGATTGGGAAAAACGTGGGTCAGCTCATCCTGGACGTGCGGAGGGTCATGGAGCCATTCACCGCAGAGTCCCTGAAGGTCCGTCTGTAAAACTACACCGTAGATGTGGTGCTGTTACTGTTACGTGAGGCCATGTGTTAGCTCCTTTTTGTTCCCTAAAGGGCATTACATGGGTATACGTATGGTCAATGTGGGCTTTACTTTAAGTTTGGAGCAAAATCTTAAGATTTGCCTGATAAAGCCATGTTTGCCTTATCGTGCTTTTCCTCACTAACTTTGCTTGAAACTGCCGTTTTGTACAGATTAGGAAAAAGAACGTGCTGAAAGACTTCGTGGCCATTGCGGGACCACTGGGAGTGACGCACTTCATGATCTTCAGTAAGACCCCCAGCAGTCTCAACATGGTAAGATCAGATCACATTATAAGCAAACAGGCCCTGGGGTGCTGGAGGATCCCATTCACCCAACAACACATTTCTTGTGCTTTCAGAGACTTGCTCGACTTCCCAAAGGCCCCATGCTTCATTTCAGAGTGCTCAAGGTAAATATATGAACTTATAAATACAACACTAGCGCAATAGATTAATGGGCTCAGATGATGAGAGTTTAATATTTGACTGTTAGTGATGTTTTCAAAGTAAACGCACTGATGTGCCCAACCTGCCACGGTTATAATTACTCTTACATATTTCTCCCACATTTACACTGGCTCTTGCTCTTTTCCCCCCACAGTACTCTCTGGTCAAAGATGTGGTCTCATCCCTGAAGAAGCACCGGATGCACGAGCAGCAGTTCACACACCATCCACTACTCATCCTCAATAATTTTGGAACTGATGGCATGCATGTCAAACTCATGGCCACCATGTTTCAAAACATGTTTCCTTCCATTAATGTGCACAAGGTATGTTTGTCTGGTAAAACTGTTGCTGTTATCACTTTGGTTGACTCAAGATTTAAAGCCTTGTTGGCATGATGACAGTATAGTCTTCTGAGATTACCTTTGAAGATTTCCAAAAAGTAAACGCTTTCTGATTTCTGAATCTTTGAGTCCTTCAGCGCTGTAAAAGTTAAACACTCATTTCTGGCAAAAAAAATATGTAAAGATATTGTTGTTTTCCAGGTAAACCTAAACAACATCAAGAGGTGTGTGCTGCTGAATTACAACCCGGTGACCCAGGAAATAGAATTTCGTCATTAGTAAGTAAATGTGTTTGCAAGTGTGTATTAGGTGGTTGGTAAAGTACAGAGATGTAGGGCTGGGTGATAAACCAAATCAGATTGACTCAAATGTACAGTTTTGCCAGATGTGTGAATAAAAACTTAGATTTGTATCTTTTAACACAGTCCTGACATTGTTGTTGTTGTTGTTATTCAGTTGTTAGAACTGTCAGTAATGTTAGATTAAGTGTTACATTCAGACCACATCACCCTGCCTTACACAAGTGTAGTTTTCAGTTAACCAGCAGTGGTTTGGCTCAGATGATGACAGATTGTGAATTGACTGTTCAGTGATGTATGTTCAAAGTAAACGCACTGATGAGCCGCCACACAAGAACCAGATTCTTTCTATGTATTGATCTTTAAATATCACACTGACCCACGCAATCGTGTTCCCAACCTGCAGCAGCCTGAAGGTCGTCCCTGTGGGCATGAGCCGTGGAGTGAAGAAGCTGATGCAGGAGAGGTTCCCCAACATGAGCAAGTTTGAGGATATCAGCGAGCTGTTGATGAAGTAAGGTTCTTGCGAAGGTATAATTCTTTTAGTCCAGAGGTCAAAGGGCCGCCTTGTTTGTAGGCAGTCTGTAGCTGTAGCATCTGATGATGAACTGTTTTGTGCTCCTCAGGGGGGCGAACCTTTCAGAAAGTGAAGCGGAACAAGATGGCGAGCACAACATCACGGAACTGCCGCAGGTCTACTCCGGCCGAGGCAACATGGCGTCCCAACAGAGTGCTGTCCGTCTGACTGAGGTGAGCGCTCTGAGGAGGTCTTAACTTCTGAAAACAATGTGACGATGCTTGGACGGCACCTGAATTGTTGCCCTGTGTTGTCTTCAGATTGGTCCTCGCATGACTCTGCAGCTGATGAAAATACAAGAAGGAATGGGAGAGGGGAATATCCTTTATCACTCCATCAGTGAGTGCACGTTTGTCCTTATTTCTTTTCTTTCTACTTGATATATTCTGGTGTACATGATGAAGAAAAACAGTATGAATTCTGTGATCTCTCTATAAAAGTAAACGCTTACTGATGCATCTAAATATGACTCTGCTTTTAATGTAGGCCTGATACAGATTGTCTTTTTAATGAGAAATTGTTATATACTCCGTTTGCCAGTCTCCAAGACGGAGGAGGAGATCCAGGAGATCCTGAACAGGAAGGAGGCCCAGCTGAAAGACAAAGAGGGTCGCCGGAAAAAGCAGGAGCAGAATGTTGCTCAGAAGAAAGAGCAACGAGAAGAGAACAAGTAATGTGGCCTTACAGATAATTTTAACCCTCTGCAATATTTTTTATTTTTTATTTTTTTGGATGAAGTGTAACACGTTATCCTCCTGTCGTTGCAGAAAAAAGAGCCTGGAGGGCATTAAGAGGAAACGTGCCGAGGCTGAAGAGGACAGCGAGGTGGAGGATCCTGGGATGCAGGACGACCAAAGACCTGTTGTTGAATCTGATGATGAGGTGGAGTACTACAGACAGGCTGTAGGAGAGGAGCCAGATGAAGGTGAATGTAACTAGCGTGCTATAAACCATTATCTCTTGGTTCTTGTTTTTGGATGTAGGTATTGACCAAGACCTGTGTTTTTTTTGTTTTTTTTCCTGCAGACATGTTCCCTACTACCAAGAAGAGGAAGCTGGCCCCTGGTAAACAACCATGGAAAGACAGAAATGCCAAATCACCAAGGAGAAACGGTCCAGGAGGACCGCAGCACAGAGACAAAACGGGAAAAGGCTGGAAAAACTCCAGGGACGGGGACAAACCATTCGGAAAGAAAATGAAGCCGGGAGGAAAGACATTCGGTGGCAAAAAATACGGTGACGGTGATAAGAAATTTGGTGGGAAAAAGAAATTTGAGGGGAAAACAACATTCGGTGGAAAGAATAATAAGGACAAATCGTTCAGATCTAAAGGTCAGAAACCCAAGCCGGGCTTTAAGAAGAAAGGCGCAGGAGGCTTTAAACAGAGGAAGGGAAAAGGCTGAAAGTCTGCCTCTTCTTTCTGGACTTTGGACATTGAATGTGTTATTGTGCTGGAGCAGCAGATGGCAGCAAGCATCCATTTGCCATCAATGCCTCAGTCTGTGCAGTGAGTTATGGTTGCCTGTGAGACGGTTGATTGCTGAAACTCAGCAGGACAAACAAAACAAATGTGCTTTATTTTCACACTGTATGATTAATATTGAATATATGTACTTGTTCAATAAATGGTTTAAAAATGTCTAGTGAATTATTTTATTGTCAGTTCTGCCTCTTTCTTGGGATTGGATAAATTGAGATGTACCTTTATTGATCTCCCTTAGGAGAAATTCAAAAAGATAATTGCAGGGTCTTTCATCCTCTCATGAATAACTTTATATTCTGTAACAGGGTGATTTAACTGGAAACAGGACTCTAGGAAGTGTATTGCAGTTTGAGATGTTTTGCTGGTTCTTTAATCATTTTTATGCCAACATGTTATTTGACAAACCCAGATTTTTGTATTAATTTATCCCTCAAATGGATTTTAACTAGAATGTCATTTTAAAATAAAGTGTATTCAAAGCTGATGAAGGCGTAACATGAAGGAACTTATTTCCCTGGAATGTGCCGGCAGGTACGATTGTCACTTTACTGAAACCTCTGAGAGCTTCTCAGCCCCAAAAACAACCGCACCCATTCATTTTTACTTTCTGAGGCTGCCGAGCTCTTCTCCACCGATTTCTTGTAAGTAGCGACAATCAATATCTTAAAACAGTCAATTATCAGATTAGATTGCAGAAAGGAAATTCGGGCAAATGAGATAAATACAAACACCGGGTTTCTATCTTATATAATCTTATATAATGATCTATAATGATTAAAATGCTCTGTTTAGGCTGTAGCCGGTTTAGACTAGCTATGCTGATACTATGAAGCATTTTTCTGTTGATTTTACTTAAATATGATGCACAGTAGAGGCCATCTGGAAAATGGCAGCCAAAATTAAAAGCTATAACAAAGGCCCAAAATTAAATTCAAATAATTTAAAATTAACGAAAAAGGAATTTAATTAATTTATCTTTATCACTTTTAGGTTCCAGGCAAAATATATTTGAAACGATTGTTGAGTGTACATCTGTGTTGGCGTATTGATAAAAACAAAAGTATGAGCTATTTCTGAAACAGTTAGTTTTTAAATAAGATAAAGCATGAGAGTCAGAGCACTGCTGGCCTGCGTGCTGTGAGCTGACCGACAGTACTCGGTGATCAGCTGCGGTGGCTCACCACTGTGCTGATCTGATCAGTGGAGACGAACAAGCTTAAATAATGATTTAATCTGCTGATTTAACTCTTTGGGCTATTTATTGCTAATTGATTTCGCAAAAGCATTGCTGTCATCAGGCAATGTGCTTCTTCCAATTGCGAAATGCGTGCAGAGAGTATGGGGAAGTGGCTTGGAGCTTGGTGTAAGATAATTGTGTTGGTAGGGGTTTCACGCTTTCTTTAGGCTACAGATATCACACAGGAAATAGAAAGTCAGGTTACAGACGACCTCACACCAGCAGTCTGCAAGTCTGCCTTCTGGTAAGTGGAGGTTTATTAGAATTTCTTATTAAATGAAGTAACGTTTTCTAACATTTTACATTGTATTCTGTGTTTGTTTTGTTTGATTACTGCTCCCTCTGAGTTTCCTAGGAGAAATCAAAATATGAACTGTACTTAAACTTGTTTTTTGAATTTTGAATTTAATAAATTAGCGTGCTTCACTTCTTCACAGATATTGGAGAATTACAAATCGTGGGAAAGCAGCTCGATAACAAACCACGCAGAAATGAAGATGGAGCACGATTTCATTCACTGTGAGAGTTTTCAAATGTCCCTGCTGCCCTCAGTGTATGGGACTGAGTTCATCATAGCCTTGGTCGGAAACCTGTTTGCCCTGTGGCTGCTGCTGGTCAAAGAGAGAAGGAACTGGCACACTGGTGTCGTCCTCTCGTGTAACCTGGCAATCAGTGACCTGCTGTATGTCCTGACCCTGCCTTTGCTGATCGTCTACTACTCACAGAGGAAACACTGGATGTTTGGTGACGCTGTGTGTAAAATTGAGAGGTTCCTTTTCACCTGCAACCTATATGTGAGCATCTTCTTCATCATGGCGATAAGTGTGAACAGATGCGTGGCCCTCGCCTGTCCCTTCTTTACCCGATCCTATGTAGAGCCTGTCCACGCCAAGGTCATCAGTGTCAGCATCTGGATCATCGTAGCAGTCATTTCCTGCCCTGTGTTGAAATATGCATCTGTTTGCAATAATGTGCACAACAATACTGAGTGTGTGTCCGTCTGTAAGGGCCAAGGGCATGAAAACCCTCACTTTACCTACAACATTTTTCTTGCTGTGTTTGGGTGTCTGGTTCCCTTCTTGGTTACTTTCACTTCTTACTGCGTTGTGATTCGAGTGGTGTGGAAAAATGTCAGTGTAACCACACTGGAGAAACGCAAGGTAGCTCTATTGGTCACATCAGTGCTGGTTTTGTATGCTATTTCCTTTGTGCCTTACCATGTCTTTCAGATCTATCACTTGTATCTGAAGATCAACAACAAGTATGTCTGTTGGGCCTACCAAATGTACCAAGTGTCCAAGGGACTGGCAACTCTGAACATGTGTATCCATCCAATCCTTTATGTGGCTGTGTTTGACAGTATAAGAGTGGCTTGTTGCGGGGAGAGCCCAGAGGACAACAACAGAAGAGAGATGAGGAAGTAGAGCTGCTCTTTGGCTGCTTTTTATGAGTAAATCATTATTTTTATGCTGTAAAACTTCTACACAGAATTTACACAAGAGCTATTGCACTTATTTCCTATTTTTGTTATTTTTGAAAGATATTGTTCTACTGACTTTGAAATGTAACCATATGTAATAAAGATTTCTTTGTTGCTGTAATGTGACTCATTTTAACTTCCTTTTTGCACCATATCAGGAAGAAAGGTTAGAATGAAAATTTTTTATTTTATATCCACTGATCGCATTTTAATTATGATGCAAAATCCAGACCTGCATAATCACATAAGTCAGGATTTTGTCTATAACAGCACAAACATACTTATACGTATTTAACAAGGCACAATGAAATAAAATCAAAGCAGTACCAGTAGAATCAGTTTAATAAAAGGATTAAAGCAGATTTCTTCTGAGGAAGTGTAAAACACTGTTGATGACACAGTTGACTTGTGACTTCCTTAGTGTGTACATGAGTAGTTCTCGGACAACAAAAAACAAATTAGAGAAAGGTAACAAAAAACTATTTTGTGCAGCAGAAATAGTTTTTCTATATCTTTCTGAAAAGTAAAGAGTGGTTTGAAACCTGTAAACCTTTTCTCAGTTTTTTATTTTTTTTATCTTTACCAAATTACCATACCATGCCGACTCGGTCACTTTATCCAGAATCAAATCAGAATTTTGTTTAATTGCCCAAGAGTTTTTTGAGCCTACCGAGGAATGTGGACCTGGTGCAATTGGTGCATAAAATAAAGTTCCTTCTCAAAATATAAATACGATAAAGATAAGGAAAGTTAGAAGAAAAACTTGCAGAAGAATTAAGACACCCAAAACAAGAAAAAACAAAGCGCACCAACACACCATCTTATCATCTTATCATCTTATCACTCCACCATCCAACTTATTCACCCTGAATCAAAGCGAGAATGGCATATATTATACATTAATTTCACTCTACCGTCAGTAAAACTCAGTTTCACAAAAACACATGACTCTTATTGTGAAGCTAAAAGTTGAAGAAACGTGGTGCTTTTATTGCGAAGTTACAGTCCCGGAAGTGTGAGTAGAGTTCCGCTCTTTGCAGTCCCGAAGCTAAGCTAGCTGAGAGGATGCCGTCGATTGAATACGACGAGTGAGTGTTATAATACACATTTAATAGTTCCTGCTTGTATGTGGAAGTCTTTTATCAATCTAATACTGCATATTAATCTCCCCCCCTCCAGCTCCAAGCCCAGTTGGGCAGACCAGGTCGAGGAAGAAGGAGATGAAGGTAAATAGCTACCAGCTAGAAATGTCTCCGAGCAGGAGGCCGGCGAGGCGGCTGCCACTTCCACGTGGTTGCTGGGCGTAATAGTCGAGTAAAAAAAAAAATAAATACACACACCTGTGATGCTTTGGGTGTATACTCTGTTAAAGATCGGCATTAACTGACGATTTATGGATGAAATATGTTTCCGACATATAGCCGTGGGCTGTGACGTAGGCAGTGTCATTCACACGGGACGACGAGGCAGCTAGCAACCGTTAGCGACCGTTAGCAACCATAGCAACCTGTTAGTTTACTGGCTTTAGTTAGACTTTAATGTAATATGTGGTCATAACTGCAATGAGCCACTGTGTCGGACATTTAAACAGCGTTACTGTGAACTGGACATGAGACAGTTTGGGGCTGCTGCATTGACCGTGTTGACAGTGTAGAGTCGTGATGTGTTCATGGACAGATTACTGTTATTAGTATCATTAAAAGATCCATTAAGTGTTATCCCAGTCGCATTTCCTGTAGCTGTCTGTTATATCGGACTAACACAATCAAAAGCGTCCAATATAAGGGCTGCAGAAACAGTTTATTATTATTTATCACCGGTTTGTCATAAGTTTAACTTGTCTGCTTATTGTTTTGTCAGGCACACTACCATCCCCCAAGGAAACCATCAAAGGAAATATAAAAACCATCACAGAATACAAAATAGATGAAGATGGAAAGAAGTTCAAGGTAATTTGAGCTTTATTGAGTTATATGTGGCATCTGTTGATATTGTTCACAGTGCGGGTTTGTATATGGCTGCATTTCATGGCATTAATCTTCCAAACATCAGGACTATGGCAGTAAATGTCATTAAACATCATGCTGGTATATTTGTCTTTGGTAATTTACGTTATCAAACTACAAACCTTTTGCCATTTGGTTCGTAAAACTACAAAGAAATAAACAGATCAATGAATTACTACATTTATCATTAGATCTCTGCCACTCTTGACCTTAACTACTAAAAAAACTGTATGCTGAATGGCATCTTGACATAGTAATCAGGACTACATTAGTTTGTAAGTGAATTGATTTTGACTCCATTGACCACATTAAGTAAGACATTTCACTTTTGTAAGCATTTGCTTCCTTTTTTGTCTTCTAGATTGTGCGGACCTTCAAGATCGAGACAAGGAAAGCCTCAAAAGCTGTTGCCAGAAGAAAGGTCTGCTTTTGAAATAGATTTTCGTAGCTGCATTCACTTTGAAATGATGCGTGGCTTCGGGTAAAGTCAGGTGTCACATATTGTATCCATCTCTCATTTCAGAACTGGAAGAAATTTGGGAACTCTGAGTTTGATGCACCAGGTCCTAATGTCGCCACCACCACAGTCAGTGACGATGTCTTCATGACTTTCATTTCCAGCAAAGAGGTAAACATCCACTGTGAGCTTCACGTTATTGTGCTGCTGCTCACTGATGCGTAGTACATGTACACGTAATACATAGAAACATGCTTTAACTTTGGTATTGGTTTGTAGTTTACTCCATTCAGCCTGTGACTGAGTACCTCATCTTACCTCTTGCAGGACTTGAACGCCCAAGACCAGGATGAGGATCCCATGAACAAACTGAAGGGACAGAAGATCGTGTCTTGTCGTATTTGCAAAGGCGACCATTGGACCACCCGCTGTCCGTACAAGGACACCCTGGGACCCATGCAGAAGGAGCTGGCTGAACAGCTCGGGCTTTCCACTGCAGACAAGGAGAAGCCTGCTGGCTCTGGTACCATTAGCACTCTATTTACATCATCAGATTTTGATTTGTTTCTCATGATCCACTGCAGGGATGTCACAATACCAGAAATGTAGTAGTTAGTGCAAATACCAGTGAAATCCCACAGTTCTCGATAACAATTTGATACCGCGGTAAAATGTCCCAATCAAGTGAAGCCCATTTAATATCTGCTGATACCAAGTCCTGATTCAATACCACTATTTTTCTTAATAATACAGGTGAATAGCTCTGCATTGCATTAAGAAAAAAATCCTTCCTTAATGTTTTTATACATAATATATTAATATAGCCCATTATTTATATATTATATTATAAATAACTGATAAAGTATCCAAATACCCAAACAAACTCTAATCATTTTTTAATGTCTGGATGGAGTTTCTCTGTCCCTTTTTAAAAGTGTCCTGCAGAGTTTGTTGCTTCAGTGCAGCCATGGCCAACCTGCGTTACCATATTCTGCTGAATGTTCATTTTCTTCGCCGTACATCTTTTGCACGGATTACATTAATAAATCGCTCGTATTTGCTTTTTGTTCACGGGGCTTTTGTGGGGCAGCTCCTCTGTCTCGCCTCTGACCCGTCCGTGGCTTAGCTCCTAACACACACACACACACACACACCACACACACACAACAACACACACACACACCACACACACACAGCAACACAGAAACACAGACGGAGCATGTTGGTATCAACTTGTGTGACATCTCTAATCCACTGTTAGACTTATTGGTGTGTCTGTTCTTAAAGTTACGATTGTTGTTGTCTGCTTTTTCTTCTCTTTCACCAGCGGAACCAGAGCCTGCACAGCCTGCACAGAGCAAGACTGGGAAGTATGTGCCACCGAGCCTGAGGGATGGAGGGACGAGGAGGGGGGAGTCCATGCAGCCCAACCGCAGAGGTGGGTGTAAGTTACAAAACCTTTTTTACTTTACACCCATTCTCTACTTCAATCATTGTTCAGCTCCAGCTTCAGAGCATTGCTCCGTATTAACAGCATGTTTGCACCTTACAGCTGATGACAACGCTACTATTCGTGTGACCAATCTGTCTGAGGACACCCGTGAGACGGACTTGCAGGAGCTCTTCAGACCATTTGGCTCCATCTCGAGGATCTATCTGGCCAAGGACAAGAACACTGGGCAGTCAAAGGTCAGTGCTCCTCTTAAGAATACAAAGACCTGCAACTTTTAATGTTTCA